GGTTCAATACGAACAAGAGGTTTAGCAGTCCACATTGTGCTGCAATCTGGATGATACTTAAGGGAACTGGATACTGCTGCTCACCCTGTCAGAAGTACTGGAAGGGTAAGAGAATGAAAGTCTCCCTCACCGGGTTTTTTCACCTGCCTCTTCCTTCAGTTCCTGAAATTCTCAGATGTGTAGAGTGCACAGGACACAAAGAACTGTCTTTGGAGCCTCATACTGTGGCGCTACGGGCCTTGAGAGAACAGTTCTGGGGAGACACAGCAGGCAAGCGTGGAGGTGAATGCGGCACTGACCCCAGCACAGCAACCCACAGGCCTTATGTTCACAGGGAGTCAAGCAAAAGTGCAGGTCCTTGAACCTGGAGCATCAATCACAGGTCTGCTGTAACTGAAAAGAGGGTGTGGAGAAGAGGAGAGAACCTGTTTGCTTCCTGGGATCAGAACAAAATGTTTTCAATCTATTTGTTCACATGCTGACAAGACTCTGCCTGAGTGCACTAAAGAAAGACCAAGCCTGTTTACTTTCCTGATGTAGTAACACTTGAAAGGGAGAAGAAACTAGCAATCTTCTGAGGAGTAGAGACCACTTTCTAAACCTCTTAACTTTAAAACAGACAGATTAAGGAAGGGAATCTGATGTTCCTGGTATTCATTTGAACCACAAATGAAAAGGGGTAAAGAGAAGAGAAGCTGTAAGTGGTAATCCTTACAGTTGTACAAAAAAATGGTCCATCCAGTCAAGAAAATTGTTTACTGGCTACTCCTCAAACTCTTGCAAATCTGGATGTGTATGCGAAGTCCAGATGTTAGAAACCCCAGACTATTTTATATAAAGGCCACCATATAGGACAATAGTAACCAGTTGATCAGTGCTGCAGTAATGAAACAAGAAATGTTTCACCAAAGCAAAACAATGGAAAGAGTAAAACTTCCCCAGAAAATTGTATGAATGCTGGCTGGAGCCTCAGAAGCAATGACAACAATTTCTGCAGACCCACAGAGAAAACTAAAGATCTGAGTAGAACGAGCATTTAGGAAGACAAATACAATCACATAACTACAATAAATGGTAAGAATAGTTTAAAATAGGCAATTTGTAAGCACATTGACAGCTCTGATTTAACTTAGTGCTGTAGGAAAGGCAGTGAAATTAAGGAATGGCCTATACAACACTAAGTACAAACCACTTTTAAGTAGTGCTAATAATTTTGCATTTACCCAATGTACTTCTGGCTCACACTTCAGACCTTGATTACTCCATTGTGAGGGCCCCAGATTTACCTTTCAGTTCCCAATTATACTCTTGAAAACTACTTTCTCTTTTAGAACTTAGACCCTGTGATTGTCTATACAATACTTTATGTAATGAAAAACCAGCTTCTCAATCGGGTCAGATGATTTGAACCCATAAAGCCATTCTTCTTATTTATTTATTTAACTCAATGGCCCCTACTTCCTGTACCCCTCTTCCACCTTCTCTCTTTTGACTATTTAATATATAAACCAACTACTATTTTAAGAGTAAGAGTAGATATGTTTATATGAGGATTTGGAGGCTACAATTCCAAAGCCTGAAAGAGTTTTCTCTCTTCAGCAGCTTCATTGCTGTTAGTCCCAGACTGGACACAATGCACTACAAACTCAGGTCACCACTGTGCTGGCCAGTGTCTGCTTTATGTATATGGCATACTGAGAAGAGGAAAATTATCATGTAGGCGTCCATTATCCCTACTCCTATTTCTTTGATTTTGCTCTCATCCATGCAGTTTCTCTCAGTGAGAAACAGAAGCTGGGGGTCGGAGAAATCAATACTGGTACTGCCTGCATTATCCTCTTTTAACTTTCCTTCTTTTTAAGTCCTTTTCAAGTTAATTTCTCTTACTCCTTTACTGAACCTCCCCAAAGAAGCACAGGCATGTAATGAAGTTGCTGTAACAGATGTCAATTGCATCTAACATCTCTTTTCTATGGAACTGAATTTATTTTTAGTTAAGAAACTAATTCATTACTAGTACCTAGGCAGAAACATCGACAACTCATGCTGCTTCTCTCTGGCGTAGGGTTTTGTTTTCTTTTAAACAGCAGAACTACAAAGCAAGTAACTCACTATTCAAAAATTCCCTCAGGCTACAAAATCCCAAGAAACCACACCAGTGGCACCTTTAGAGCACTTGCCTAACCTCCTTAAATCTAAAACTTCACTAGAGGAGGTGGCCACACATTGGTTAGCCAGTCTTGAATAAAGCCCGACATCACAGCATCTGGCTAATTCAAAACAGGCAAAAAAACTAGCAGCTCACATTAATCTCCACAATGTTTGAATAAAGCCAGGATTAGTATCTGGGACAAACACTGTCCTCCGAAGTCAAAAGCTTGTCTTAAAAAATTGTATGAAGAGCTGCATAGCAAGCAAAAAGCTATAGAGTAGTACCAAATAAAAGCAGCCCACAACAAAATTTTATCTCCCCAAGACATACCGTCTTCTACTATTTTTATCTACAGCGAAAATGAGGAAATAATATCTCAGGATACACATTTAATATCATTTCTTTCTGTCAGACCTCTTTACACTGCACTTACTTCACTGGATACATTTCAGATAAATGCCTGCTTGTAACTAGCTCACAGCTGCAGCGCACCTCATAAAACACTTTGAATGGAAAAGCATTCTTAAAATTTGCAGCTCTTGGCTCCAGCAGCTTCTGAGATGATAAGTGCTGATTGTTTCTCCTTCAGTGACTTGTGGTTTTTAAAACAGGATAATCACTGTGACCAGTAGAAAACTGCCACAGGAGGGACTAAATATTTTCTTTATTTCATCGCACAACAATCTGATTGAATGCAATGAGATTTTCCTCATTCAGCCTTTTTAGACCAGATTTATCAAGACAGGCTCACACATAAGCAGAGTAACTGACTGCTCTGGTTGTATCTAGGTAGTGAAGTTTTGTGCCTTCAATCCAGTGTCAGCCAAATGTGACAGTCAAAGATATGCAGGAAGGAGGTTCCTTTCAAGCAGACTGAAAACTGGTCGCAGACTAGAAGACAGACTTGAGCTCACAGGGGGATGACACAGGCCTTCTCTGGTTCTGTCCCTCCAACCCTGCAGCTGCGCACGCAGTCCTGAGTCCGGCACAGCACATGCTAACTTGCACCCAGCATGCAGCTGGGAAAGAGACAACAGTGCAAACCAGGAGCTCAACAACCACTGCAAGAGGATCTTGCTTATTGGGCCCATGCTTCCAAGCTAACCATTGATGGGCACATTGGGATATCACCTGGACTGTGGCTTCTGAGAGTTCAAGATACGCAGCCCGGCTCAGTCCTAATGCCAAAGCTCTTTCTTGGACCTGGGGAGACTCTGCCAACCAGCGGCCCTGAACTCCAAGCACTGACAGAAAAGAAACCATAGCCCATGGGTTTGCAGTCAAAAAGGGTCATTGCCAAGTGATTTTTATGAGCTTTTGTCAAAAACTTTCATCGAATCATAGAATGGTTTGGGTTAGAAGGGACCTTACAGATCATCTAGTTCCAACTCCCTGCCATGGGCAGGGACACCTTCCACTAGACCAGGTTGCTCAAGAATCTGTCCAACCTGGCCTTGAACACTGCCAGAGATGGAGCACACGTAACTTTCTTGGACAATCTGTCCCAGTGCCTCACCACTCTCACAGTAAAGAACTTCTTCTTTATATCTAACCTAAAGTTCCCCTGTTTAAGTTTGAAGCTATTACCCCTTGTCCTATCACTACAGTCCCTGATGAAGAGTTCCTCTCCAGCATCCTTGTAGGCCCCCTTCAGATACTGAAGGCTGCTATGAGGTCTTCATGCAGCCTTCTCTTCTCCAGGCTGAAAAGCCCCAATTTTCTTAGCCTGTCTCAGCCTGATCCTGACTCACTCTGTACCAAGGAGGCTCCCAAGCAGAAAACGTCTTAAGCATCAAAGCAAATTTCTGTACATTCCCTCAACAACATTTCAAGCTAGAAAAGAATTTAAAGTAGCTAGTGTAAGCATCTCCAAGCCAAGCTAGTAAAAGGAACAAATTCAACAGACAAAGAACATGGTTTGGGGTTGGTGGACAGTGGTTATTTGTTTTGACAAAATTAAAAGTCATCCCACCAAGTTTAAATGTAGCAAAAGAGAAGTCATTTCAAAACAATGAAAAAGAAGACAGAGTCACAAATGATCACAGCACCCCGTGAACTCAATTTGCTGCTCTACTGTTCCTACAGACCAGTGCACTGATGCACCACAGTGAACATTTTGTCTCTTAAAAACCTTTACAAGTTGCCTTTGCAATTTGGAAATCTCAGTGTCATCACTGAGATATCCAGTAAACAGTATGAAAAGATAATCTAGTTTAATGCCCCAAGAGTGGGTGCAAGATTAGTTTTTTGTCCAACACTTGTTTACAAATGGTTTCCTAGTAGTAACTGTAAATGTCTCCTTTGAGCTTTTTTAAATGTCAGTTACAAGCAAAAAAAAGTTACACAAAAATAAATACTGATGTCATTTGCTAGATACATAATAATGTATTACAAAAAAGTGATAAGTTAATATGTGAGTTACACTGGCAGAGTTATTCGCTGCAGGCTCAAAAGATTTTCTTCTGCATTACTTTTGCTATGCAAGATCTCTTTAGTCCATTTCTAATTATCAGTGTTGCACAGCTTGAGTTGAACTTTAATATGTTGCTAATGGCAACAGCAGTAGTTTTACATGTTTACTGCACTAAAACGTATTTCACTTTGGAACTGTCCGGCTGGACTCGGACAATAGGTCAAACCTCAGAGGTGTAACGGAGCTCCCACTGCCTTCAGCAGTGCTGCACCAGCTCCTACTGACAGAGAATCTACTCCAACAGCTGCTGTATTTTCAAGTAAAATTTAGGAAGATCACACTGCCCTTCCTAGAAAAGCTGTCCCAAACTACACAAAGATTTACCTACACACACAAGGACACACTTTCTTGTTTTGTGTAAGACAGACACCATACCTCATTCCTTCCGTAGACCTATTCTGGTAGTTACGGTAGAGCTGAGGAACACCTAACATAGCCTCAGTGAACACTGCAAGGAAGCCCAGCGTTTCCACAAAGAGAGATGAGTCAAGCCAGAGGTAAGTGATGTAACCGGTCACACCAGTGAAGGTCAGGACACACTGCACGTAGTCTGTAAACTTGCTCCAATGCCAGAAATAGTTCAAGTCAAAATCTGCAACAGAATAGGAATGGAAGAAGAATAAAACATGTTTTCCGAACCAGACTCAAAGTTATTCAGGGTGCAACTGAGAGCTGGGAAGCATGGGGGAGTCACTGTCAGTCTCTGGAGGTAGGGGCAGATAGGCAATGAGGAGAAGGATTAAAAAAAAAAAAAAAATACAAAAAACCCCACCAAACTTCAAACTCAAAACCAACAAGAAAAATAAGAGTCTTGATTTGGAAAACATTTTTTGGGGGATGTTCAATAAAGAGACAATAAAACAAAGACTTACAAAATACCGAAATATTTACAAAGATGATGAAGAGAAAGCATTGACCCTCAAGTATCAAACATGAAGAATTCTAAATGAGACTCTAGCAGAGTTCGCATAGGAAGTGTTTTACAAAAAACTCTGCAACACTAAGTACAGGACTCAAGTACATCAATGCAAGTGCTCACTCTCTCAGGTCATTATTTCTGCCTTCAAACTGCCTCAATCCAAGCTGCTTAGAAGGTCACCTGAAGACCACAGCTCTGTTCCCTGGTGCAGTGCCGCTGCTTGCTGTGGTACGCTTTTAGGTAGGTAGGTGCAAGACTGTGACAAAAATTCCCCTGCAACAAGGCCTCTTGCAGATGTCACCACTTTTCACCCCAAGGTCAAAACATGCTTTACTCCTGTCTTTGGCAGTTCCAGTGAATGCAGGGTGCACACCCATTTCTACATCTTTCAGAACAAAATGCTGTATCACAAAACACAACATCCTCTCTTGAGAGAAAGAACAAACCAACCATGACATTTGCTTAGTACATTAACAGCATTCCACTGGAAGGTATGTTGCTGTCGTATCAATTAATAATCAAATATACAAGCCCCTTATCATCAACTGTATAGCAAAATAACAACATAATTTTAAATAAGAAGAACTCTGAAATACCTGTTCATTACTAGGTGCTGTTCATGTCTTCCTTTCTTAAAAGCAAAGTTAAAAATAACTATGTCTGACCAACTTGATTCTGTTAATTGTCAAAACAATGAACGGGGTTATTACAACCAGCCCAAATGTGTGCAACACTGTGGCACATCATTAGAAGATTTCTGTCACAGCCTCCTGAGGATAAGTACAGAATACTACAAAAAGGTCCTACTGTTGTTAACTCAGGCGTGGAAGACACTGACCTCCACTGAAAACAGTAACAACAAATGGGAATACAGGCACTTAGCTGCCCAAGGATACATAGACATACCAAATACTAGTTTCATTTTCTGCATCTTTTGACACTTTCATATCATTATCAGCCTCACCCTCAGATGCTCTTATTAACTAGTCTTCCTTTTTCAGTACTCTGCAAGCCCTCAAGACACTACTGTCTACATCCAGCCGAATCATGGTACTTTGCCACACAAAGAGGAAGGCAAAACAGGCCAGGAGCCAAAGCCACTGTCAATTTAACATCAGCTTTCAGTATTTTATGGCAGTGTCTCCTGGGACTCAAGGATTCAGGGAGACAAGACTAAATAAAAGGTAGACTCAGTGCTGGCCCAGCCCACACAGCACGTGAGCATCACGCATTTTTGGAGCTTTGTGAAGGCTTTCCTTTTTGGAGGTGAAGAAAGAACAAAATAGAATGAAGCAAAAAAAGGAGGGCACAACATAACCACAATGGCAGGAAAACATTATCCATTTTAATTTATCTCCGTTGCATTTTCTGCAGAGGAGTAGAGTCAAAGAGAACCTCTGACAAAGTAGAAGGAATAATGGACACCCAAAACTCCCATTTCTTTCACTTTGCCTGAATCTGAATAACGTGAAATAGCAGAGGCATAACAAAGTACATTCACACTTATTTTGCCAGCTACATGAGCAGTACCAAGCAAATGGCTTCACCCAACACAATAAATGTGACACTACACAACTGTTACATTTGCGAGAAAAGCTTCCAAATGTAAACGTCCCTGAAAAAGGGACAGAGGCATGTGGCTCACAATGGGAATGGAATAATGAACAGCAGAAGAGAAGGGGAGGAAGAGAAAGATAAAGTTGGTGTGGTTTCAGATCATTTAAAAAAGCAACCTCCATTCTGGAACAGAAGAGCTACTGATGGCTTTTGATCAAGATGTAACTGCTACTTTTACCAGCCTTGAACAGTGGAGCGGGGGGAAGCTCAG